AGAAGTTGAGAGGACCGCGGCAACCAGTCGAGCTCCGAGGCTAACGGCAGCCAGGGCTAGCCGCAGCCCGTCTGCAGTGGCCCTTTCTCGGCATAGCCGTGTGTGAAGGACCGCTGGCTCTGATTGCGATTTTTGATTCAGCTTTGCAATCAGTTAACGTGAAACGTGAGAAGGACGTCTTCGCCGTTTTACCGACAGGCTGTTTGTTTCCACTCCCCCACCTGCCTTCTGTCATGCTTCCTACGTCACAGTCTGTTGCTCTCATTGGTCAGAGCGTTGGCCAATAGGCGCCGACATTTGAAAGACAACGGGTTGTTCTCTTCAACAATCTTCCGATGTCTCATTCATCTGGGCCAGACTAAATTACAAATTTAATCTCCCATTTAGTCTGGTTTATCCGGCTGCTATTCTCCTCCGCCAGCTGCACCGCCAACAGGCTGTGCTCCTCTGTACCAGCAGCCAATCAGAGTGAAGCTCTGACAGCTAAGTCCAGATTAATGTCAGCAGATGAAGCAGTAAAACAAGAAAAAAATGGAGGAAACTGAACAATAATTTTGGGAAAGTTACTGTCATGTATCTCAGGTTCATCGCCATGACAAACATTTCTTAATCTGGTTTCCCTGATCTATGGAAGATCTGTTGGTAGATCAGCACCTCTGGTTCCATCATTGCTGTATGACCCAGAGTAACCTGCTGCTCTCTGATGCCCCGCTGTGAAGAAATCTGGAGCGTTTCTCCGGGTTTTCCCGCATGTGTTAGGAACCAGAAAAGGGAAGTGGCTGTGATGAAATCAGCGGTTCTGAAACCGCTGCAGCTCTGCAGGAGAGGACCAAACCTGGATGTTTGATTGAATACTTTCTGTAACGCTAAGCACTTCTGGAGACCCACCGAAGGCGTTAGTCGGTTGCAGGTTCTGGGAGGTTCCTACACTTCGTTTTTTTAGGTTCAAAGGTTTGTTTCAGGAGGAAGTTGGTTCATTACGGGGAAACATCTCAGTTTAAGAATAGGTGTGAAAATGTCATCATGTTTATTTTCAGTTTGTTCTTCCTGTGGAAACAGGAAGTCATTGAGCCCGCTCAGGGCTGCTGCTTTAATCCCAGAGTGGTTTCTGTCAGCAGGGGGCGCTAAAGCTCATCTGGTTGCTTTCCTCTCTGGATTATTGGTAAAGATTCTGGCCTGCTCTCCATGGTTCTGGGTTCTGACTTTAAATGTTATTTTTTTATTTTTTGGATGAAATTCTTCAATAGTTCTGGTTTACATGCCTTGCTCAGTGGCTCACTGGTAGGTGACAGGGCAGGCTGGAATCAAACCCACGACCTGCTTCGGTTCTGCTTTAAATCTCGAGTTGGCCTGATTTGTTTTGTTTTGGACCAGTTTTTTAATTGATTCCTGAACCAGTAAGAGTTTTGGTTTTGGACCAGTCCTCTGATTTGTTTGAACTGGGTTCTGCTGAGTCATTCTGCTTTGCTTTAAGAGTGTTTTAAGTTTTAAATAGTTTGATTTTGGAACCACGTTAACTCTTTAAATTGAAAATTGGGTTTAAATTGGGTTTTTAAACCAGGTTTGGTTTGTTTGTTTGGACTAAATGATAACTGGGTTTGGTTCTGTTCGAACTAGTTATAGTTAGATTAGAGGACCAGTTATTGTTATGTTATCGATTCATTGACTCTTCAGCAATCCCTCACAATAGGCATGCTTGTAGCGACAGTGGAGAGGAAAAACTCCCTTTGAACAGGAAGAAACCTCCAGCAGAACCAGGCTCAGTGTGAGCGGCCATCTGCTGAGGCCCACTGGGGTTCAAGGAGACAGAAGCAGACATAGAAAAAGAATCATAGATACAAAGGCAACTGTCAACCAGCTCCACAGGCGGCCCCGTCCAGGAAACACACAGCCAGGCAGACGAGCTCCGAGCCAGCTCCCATGTCAGAGGATGAAGAGAGCACATCCAGTTAGTCACAGTCAGAGAAACAGGACTACACTGGAAAACAGGCCAAGCTCCAACATCTAGAAACAAAGGTGTTGATGGCAGCAGCACAGCTGATATTTCTCTCCAGGATGGAGTCACAGCCAAACAGGAACAGACCAGATGAAGCTACTATGAGAAAAAGCAGAGAGAGCAGAACGTTAGAGATTGAACTACGGTAACAGATTCTGCAGAGTGGGAGAATAGAGATAGAATGATGAAAAAAGGGTCCCTATGTCCTCCAGCAGTCTAAGCCTATAGCAGCATAACTTTAGATAGGATAAAATCCTTCTTTTATACATTCTTCAATTTTTTCAAAAACATATTTTGTTTTAACTGCAATTTGATTTTGCCGGCTTCCGTAGAATCGTGAGCGCGCATGGGGGCGCTATTAGGAAATCCTATACACTACTGTTTAGGCTCTAAAAACGTTCTAAATGACTTCGTTTCCAGTAAATTCTGGATGCTACCCACTCAGGACACTTGGAATACATTGGACGAGCAGTATGGAGGAATATTGACAAGTTTTTGTGGACTTTTATGGACCTTTCTGTCTCGGGCGCCATAGACCTCCATTATTTGAATGTCAGCAGACAGCAAGAAGCCTCCCAGATCTCCAGATGCATTTGAGATATCAAAAAAGTACTCCAGAGTGTTGTTCAGCATGGGGGTGAGTAGAAAATGAAGGCTAATCATGTTTTGGGTGTACTATTCCTTTAAGCTCTATTTATTCTCTGATTTAAATTAGGTCTTCAATCAAAGAACAAGCCATTGTTTCCTAACAGCTGATTGGCTGCTGGTTGGAGCGTTTTCTAGGACTCAGATTAATCCTGAGATCTATCCTGCAACGGAGCAGGTTTCCAGACCTGATTCTGTTCACCTGGAGGGTCAGAGCTCGGTTCTGTAGGACATTAGAGGGCGATGATGGAACTGGATGCTCCATCACCTTGGTGAGCGGTGACCAAACAGGAAGTCATCTATGAACAGGAAACAGGCCGCCTGCCCTCTTCCTGTTTGCCAGCTGACCTCTGACCTCATCGCTGTTGCTGAGGCGGTTCTGTCACTTTCACCTTCTGACGGTCGGACTAAATCTGAGCTCTACAGGAAGGGAGGAAGTCCAGTGTTGATCGGAGTAACCTGCTGAATCTGCAGCTTTTTTCCATGAAGATGGAGGAACTTATGGTGGATCAGAGTCGGGTTTATCTGCTTGGATAGTCTGAACATAACGTTCTGATGAAATGACCTGATTATTTCATCCAGAAAGCTTCCTTGATGGAAAGCGAAACATCTTCAAACTTGGAAAATAAAGTCCATTTGTTTGTTTTTAACTTCTCTTTGGAATGACTATGACCTGGATGACTGAGAATCTTCACCAGCATTCTGTCATGATGGGAGGCTGAGTGAACATTAATGAGAAATAAAATGAATTTTATCGATTTTAGCAAATGGCTGCAATGAAACAAAGAGTGAAAATTGAATTCTTTCCATACCCACTGAAACTCTTTGGCATTTTTGATGTCTCCATTTGGCCCAAATGATTGGCTGTAACACCCTTTCTGTCAGTTACAGCGCCCCCTTTTGCCCTTAGAGTGATTTACTGCAGATTGATTCACCTCTTCGATGTTTCCTTTTTTAACTTCTATGTTGACCCTTTACTGTTTTTAGTTTCTGCTCGCTTATGGTCCAAATGCACTGAAAACGCAGCTTCAGTGGGCTGTGGGCCACTGATCCTTTCGGCGGCGGTGTCTCTATTGGCCGCTAATTTCCTCAACCGTTCAATCATTTCACCGTGTGTATATAGGCACTGTTATAAGTCATCCAGGTCAGAGTCATTCCAAGAAAGTTACAATCAATCTACTGGACTTTGTTTCTTAGTTTGAAGATGTTTTGCTTCCCATCCAGGAAGCTTTTTCAATTTAAAATGTCAGAAATGGTGTTGAGTTCGAGGTTTTTTACAGCAGCCCAACAAAGCCTTGTTTTTGTTTAGAAACCATGCAAATAGAAACGGACGAATGGGTCCATCCCTTTGGAATGGGGGTCGTCTGGCTTCTTTGTTAGCCTGCATTGCCCCATGGTAAATGGCATGTACTTATATAGCGCCTTTATTCAAGTCAGGAGACTTGACCAAAGTGCTTTACACTACATTCATTCACGCACACACTCACACACTGATGGTGGCAAGCTACATTGTAGCCACAGCTGCCCTGGGGCTCACTGACAGAAGCGGGGTTGCCGTACACTGGCGCCACCCTCTGACCACCATCAGTAGACAATGCAGGTGAAGTGTCTTGCCCAAGGACACAACGACACTGAAAGTCGGAGTCGGGGCTTGAACCGTCAATCCTTCGATTTCAGGGCAAACTCCTACATCCAACGCCACTGTCGCCCATACCTGTCTATGTCTCTGAAAGTGGGGTCGTTAAAGGGAATAGTTGGCCTGGCTGAATAGGTGAGGTCTTCTGTTCCCCTTTAAAGCGGTTTGGGCTGCGAAGGTAGCGGGATTTAAGGTTGGTTTTTCTTTCTTAACATAGATGGCTTCCTTCACGCCCCTCTCAAACCACCTGTCTTCTTTGTCCAAAATGTGAACATTCCGGTCCTCCAAAGAATGTCCTTTGTCCATGAGGTGTAGATGTACAGCAGAGTGTTGTCCAGAGGAGGGCGCTCTTCTGTGTTGGGTCTTGCGTCTGTGGAGAGGTTGTTTGGTTTCTCCAATATAAAGTTAATGGCATTCTTCAGTGCATTGAACTGCAGACACCACTCCGCTCAGATTGAGTCTAAAGGTTTTACCTTCAGGATGAACTAGTCTCTGTCTAAGGGTCTTGTTAGGTTCGAAATGTTCTGGGATTTTGTGTTTCGAGAAAATCCTCTTGGGGTTTTTAGAAACTCCAGCAACATGTGCATGTGGGATGGCAATGTTTTTGTGTTTAATCTTCATTCCTTCATTCTTCAAGTTCTGCTTGGTGTCTTTTGGATATCCTTGCTGATTTTATGTTCAGCTGAGCTTTAGGACCTCTGCTCTCTCTCTGTGTTCCTGCAGTGAAGGCCACACAGGAGGCATGACAGATGAGAAATGTCCCCAGCTGGTGGACTACTTTGTGGTGGCGGGTCTGGACCCTGCTGGACCCTGGAAGTCCCTGGACGAAGACGGCCGGACCTCCTCCTTCCCTCCCTCCTCGTCTTCGGTGTCGGTCCGGGCAGGAGAGCCGGTGACGGACCTGGTGGTCATCGCTCGGGGTCTCGGGGAGGAAGTACCAGAAGGTTTCACCTGCATCGAGAAGACCCTGGGGGGTCACTCTGCCGAGCTGAGCGCCGGCCTCATCAACAACCCGCACCTGTACCTGTGCTACCGGAGAGGGCGGGACAAACCGCCCATACTGGACCTGGGGTGAGTAACTGTTTGATCGGTTCTGGTTCTACAAGAATGTCCGTAGGAGAACAGTGACTTTTTACTGTCTTCAGATGGAATGACCCCCCGGAATGGACTTGGTTTGTTTATGTTCTTAGATCCTCCTCAGACTAATAGGTAGATGGTTTTGGTCTATCTTCTGACGGGTTTTGGATCTTTGGTCGTCCGTCTAGGCTCCTCTTACAACAGCTTATCAGCCCATTGAGACCTCACAAGTAAAAAGGTCCTGCCCAGATGAAGAACAGAACAGCAGTGCTTGGTTCTTGGAGTCCAAAGACACAGAAACTGTTTCTCTGTCGTGCTCAAAGGCCTGAATCCGAATTTGCTTCTTTGGTTCAACTGATGCTAGAAGCGATAAAATTAAAACAGGATAATAGTTTTTACACTAGTTGTAGTATTAATTAGTCTACAAAGTTAGGTAATTGGGGTCAGGTGTAGCACAGATAAAGACCCTTAATGTGTTCTGACTATCTAGCGCTGTTATCTGTCCCTGCAGGGTTCTATATGAGGGGAAGGAGCAGCTGAAACAGGGATGGTACGTCATCGAGACCACGCCCTACAGTCGCTCAGCCAGCTTGAGCTCTGGTGGCGCTCCCACGGCCCACCGGGTCTTCCTGACCTACCGCCGGGCTCTGGACTCACAGGGTCTGGATACGCTGGGAGTCACTGACATCGCCCTGCTGATGCCTAGCAAGGGGGAGGTGGCACCGCACACCTTCTGTCGGGTCGACAAGAACCTCAACACTGGCATGGTGGGTAAGGGGGTGAGGTGGATGATGATCCAGTATATCCATGAGGGTCTGGATGGAAAGTCTGCATGAAACTGATCTATGTCTATAGTTCTGCTGCTATAGGCTTAGACTGCAGGAGGACATAGGGACCCCTTTTTCATCATTCTGCTTCATTCTATCTCTATTCTCCCACTCTGCAGAATCTGTTAGTTCAATCTCTAACGTTCTGCTCTCTCTGCTTTTTCTCATAGTAGCTTCATCTGGTCTGTTCCTGTTTGGCTGTGACTCCATCCTGGAGAGAAATATCAGCTGTGCTGCTGCCATCAACACCTTTGTTTCTAGATGTTGGAGCTTGGCCTGTTTTCCAGTGTAGTCCTGTTTCTCTGACTGTGACTAACTGGATGTGCTCTCTTCATCCTCTGACATGGGAGCTGGCTCGGAGCTCGTCTGCCTGGCTGTGTGTTTCCTGGACGGGGTCGCCTGTGGAGCTGGTTGACAGTTGCCTTTTGTATCTATGCTTCTTTTTCTATGTCTGCTTCTGTCTCCTTGAACCCCAGTGGGCCTCAGCAGATGGCCACTCACACTGAGCTTGGTTCAGCAGATTTTTCCTCTCCACTGTCGCTACAAGCATGCTTAGTGTGAGGGATTGCTGAAGAGTCAATACAATCAACTGGTTTTCCTTAGATAGAAAATTTTGAATCAGTGTGACTGTATTATCCGGTTGAACTTCAAAGTGACCTGAGATGACATGAGGTGAATTGGTGCTATAGAAATAAACTGAATAGAATTGAATCTTGTTTCTGCAGTGGGGTCCAGCTCTGCACGTGTGCTACAAGAGAGCCGTGGCCAGAACCAACGCCCTGGTGTTCGAAGCCAGTGAGTCTCTGCACACAAACATCTGCTGCTAGTGTAGAAGCTCCAACACTGGGGGGAGGTGTGGGAAAGTCCTGGTGGAGATGGGGAAGCAGATAGAGATCAGTTTTTATTCTTTTTTTTCCTATCAGATCATTTACAAGGGGCGTTCAATAAGTAAATAAATCTACACCATGTAAATAAACTGAATTGAAAGTCTGAAATAGAGCACTTTATTTCATGCTGGATCTTATGATCTTGTAAAATGTTTTACAAGAACAAATGATGGAGCTTTTTCACCATAAGTTAGTTTCAGTTCATCAAAAGTCTCCCGTATTGCCGTCCTTTTAAATACAAAAACCAGACCAGGGCTGGTTTTTGTATTTAAAAGGACGGGCTAACGTAAGCCCGTCTGCAGCGGCCAGGGCTAACGTTAGCCAGTCTGCAGCGGCCAGGGCTAACGTTAGCCCGTCTGCAGCAGCCAGGGCTAACGTTAGCCCATCTGCAGCGGCCATGGCTAACGTTAGCCCGTCTGCAGCAGCCAGGGCTAACGTTAGCTCGTCTGCAGCAGCCAGGGCTAACATTAGCCCGTCTGCAGCAGCCCTCTCTCTGCATAGCCATGTGTGAAGGACCGCTGGCTCTGATGGCAAGTTTTTGTTTTATTTGGCAAAATGTTTTTTGTGTGTCTTTACATGACTGTGTTAATCATTATTCCCTGACTAAATGAAATAAGTCATAATTTATTATTATCTAGAGACTATTGATAACAGGAGGAGAAATGCAGCTTCAAACTAGCTTTGAATGTGGTGATGTCATCAGTACACTTCTGTTCCAATTGACCCAGAATTATGCTGCGTTCTACCGTTCTCCCTGAGTCCAGACTTAACTGGGTTCAAATCGAGAACCTACTTGGCGAGGACACGAGTCGGTACTCGCGTTCTTGTGAATTGAGAAACGACCTATGTAAACTTAATAGCCTGCTGCCGCGAGCGGGCTACAGCTGCGACCACCAGCTTGCTCGACGTTGCCATGACAATGTAGCCTCCATGCGCTTGTGTTGATTAGGCCTCAAAATATTGAAATTGAAACCAAAATGCATGTAATAGTAAAATAAATAAAGGTAGAATACTTTCCACAAATTTAAAAATTTATAAAGTATTTTTAATGCACTTTAATCTCACTCTTTCCACTAGAGGGTGCTGCAGCACCCCCACTTCCCGCAGCCATGGACCCAGATATAGTTTCTGCCTCATCACAACACCTACAGTAAAACTAGCTGCAGATTAGATTTTTTCTTGTATCAGATTATCTGTTTTACGATCACAGGATCAGTCTGACGTGAGTCAACATGCGGCAAAGGAAACCTTTAAGCCGGGCTTAAACAGTGTGATTGTTTGCACTTTTTGGGCCGACTTTCTAGTAGTGCGATAAATTTCCGATCGGGCCGAATATCAGCCTGATCTTGCATGGTGTAGTGTACAGGGGGTAACGAGGGGCGATTAGCCTCTCACGACCATTCATCTGGATAGATGCATCCCAGTAGCGCCATCTCTCTCCGTGGCTGAATCCGATGTGGTTTTTAGACGTACAGCGTGAGCAGGTAGAACCAATCAGAGCGTCCGGAGCTGTGGCTTTAGAGCCCTAGAGAACTTTGGACCAGGACTGTGTGCTTCATAAATCAGGCTGTTTTGGGACAAACGGAAACAAATGAAGAGAGATCCTCTCATTCTGTCAGATGAAACTTCTCACAGAGGGACCAGTCAGGCCCGGCTCAGGGATCCAAACCTCTGTCCTCTGCAGGTCTGATCAGCCGGTACCCGGTGGAGGACCTGGAGGCGTTCCCTCTTCCCGAGTCGGTGCCGGTCTTCTGCCTGCCAATGGGCGTCACCGTGGAGAGCTGGCCGCTGAACTCCAAGTACCAGCTGCCCATTTTCTCCACCTTCGTCCTCACGTCCGCCTCCGGAGACAAGGTGAGCGAGACACTAAGCGGATCTCCTCTGAATTAATGCAAAATAAATAATTCAAGAGAAAATAAATAATCAGCTGAGAACTTCGGACCCGTGGTACGACTCAGTGTAGAAGGACTAGGGAATAAACCACGTGTCTTCCTGCAGGTTTACGGAGCTGCCATCCAGTTCTACGAGTCCTTCTCCAGGGAGCACCTGTCGGAGCGGCAGAACATCCGGCTCGGCCTTCTCAGCGTGGTGGACCGGCGGCCCATCACCGGCCGCAGTCTGCATGCCAAGAAGAGCATCTGCGTTCTCTCCCACTGGCCGTTCTTCACAGTCTTCCAGAAGTTCCTCACCTTTATCTACAGATACTCCATCTCCGGGCCGCATGTCCTGCCGCTCGAGAAGTCCGTACCGATTCGTGTTTTTAACTAAGTCCTAAAAAAATCTGCATACTCCTGCATCCTTTGTACTTCTGTGTCTACAGTTTTGTTTTTGTTTCTGCAGACACATCTCCAGTTTCATGCACAACGTCCCGTTTCCTTCCCCTCAGCGTCCTCGGATCCTCGTTCAGGTGAGAATCCAGCTCGTATCTGAACCAGGCGGAAGATTCTGCTACCAAATGAAAGATTAAGCAAGATTGCAGACAGGAGTTAAAGGAAGAACGAAAACACTTCCAAAAACTAAACGGATCAGAACCATCTCCCTTCCTAGAAAATCCTGTCAAGACATGCAGGAATTGCTGCTGTGATCCCAGTAACACATGGTTCTAGTCTAGTCTAGTCTATACTCTAGTCTAGAATAGAGATAGAATGAAGCAGAATGATGAAAAGGGGTCCCTATGTCCTCCAGCAGTCTAAGCCTATAGCAGCAGAACTATAGAGATAGATCAGGATAACCTGAGCCACTCTAACTAGAAGCTTTATCAAAAAGGAAAGTTTTAAGCCTAGCCTTAAAAGTAGACAGGGTGTCTGGGTTCTGGTCTAAAGGTGATAATTTCTCTCTTCAGTTTAAAGTCATCCTGGTTTGTGTCTTAATGACATGTTTGATTTCTATTAAACTGGTATAACGGCTTAATGTATAAATATAGCTCAGTGTCATCAGCATATCTGATGGATCTGATAGAAACAAGCGATCCGCTGGTCGCGCTGCTCTTCTCTCCCTTGTGATCTGGACTTTCTGCCCAGATCGGAGTCAGATCTGATGATCTGACAGACTTCGGGTTCCTCTATTGTTTTAATGCTTTCTGTCTGTGTTGCAGCTCTCACCCTATGACAACTTGCTGCTCTGCCAGCCGGTCTCCTCGCCACTTCAAATCAGGTTAGTCCTAGTCCCTCAAATGTGTCTTGGAAGCACACCCTAGTCCCTGGAGAGCCCAGTTGTTCAATCTCATGAAGGCAGGGAATAAATCAAGACGGTGTAATTTTAATCCCAAATATTCGCTTAATTTGAGATATGATAAATTATCGTTTAAGTCAGTATTCAGCCCTTGGTGCAAACAGATGCTCCTTCTCAAAAACTCTGAAACTTCAGACCGTCAGCTCCCTCACCGAATAGGTCATGTGACCATGAGTGCAGCTTTATGTCAGTCTGAGCATCCTTTAAACACCAGAGCTAACTAAGCTAACAGTTACTGTTAGCAAATCAAAAAGATGGAGGATTTTATCTAGAGGGGGGAATGTTCCCATGTCTTTACCAGGAAATCCAACACTTCTCATCCTGCTGGTCTAAACTGGTTTGATACCAGAACCAGATCACAGAGGGACTGGTTCATTAAGCTACAGCGTAGTGCTGCTAGCTGCTTTCAGGGGGCGCTAAACCTGGAAGTTACAGCTCTAGCAGCTCCTAGTGGCTCCTTTTAAAACCAGGTTTTACAAGGAGCTGCTTTAAGTTAGACTATGGAGCTCAGTCAGTGACAGCTTGCACTAACTTTGAATGTGTGATTTAGCAACTAAACTCCAAACCCTGGTAATGAAAACATAGAAAATTCAAACACTAAATATTCCCTCAAAAAACATAAAAATCTGATGATTGAACTGTCATCCCTCAGCTGCAGCATTTTAGTGTCACTGCAGAGTTCCTGCAGCTACAAGCTGCTGACTTTAATAATGAAACCAAATCAGTGAAGGACCCTGAAGGAGCCTTCGGTTTAGCCCCGCCCCCCCGACGCAAAAATGGTGTCAGCGTGTAGTGACATAGTAGCTGCAGGAACTCTGCAGTGACGCTGGAACCATCTCTCATTGAAAAAATGCTGCAGGTGAAGATGATGGCATCATCATTAGTTTTCATTTTCTTTTAAATATTCTCAAACGTGAAGCCGCAACATTCAGGATAAACGGCAAATTTATCCTGAATCTGATATAAACCTGACACGATGAAGGATAAATCTGCCTTTGTTTAGCAGAGGTTCAGCTATGAGCCCTGAGGAACGCCATTACCGTCTCACCCTCAGATTGTTTTTAGGTCAAACACAACCAGCACAAAGCTGTATTCTTAAAATATTAGATCATTCCTTTAATTTCTAACTCTTGTTGGGTACGTGAGTACCCTATCAGGTACCTGATAGGGTTGTTTTTCTGTTTTCTGAATGCTAACTATGGGTGTCCTCTGAATGCCAACTGTGGTTGTTCTCTGAATGCTAACTGTGGTTGTTCTCTGAATGCTAACTATGGGTGTTCTCTGAATGCTAACTGTGGTTGTTCTCTGAATGCTAACTGTGGGTGTCCCCTGAATGCTAACTGTGGGTGTCCTCTGAATGCTAACTGTGGGTGTTCTCTGAATGCTAACTGTGGGTGTCCCATGAATGCTAACTCTGGCTGTCCTCTGAATGCTAACTATGGGCGTCCACTGAATGCTAACTGTGTTTGTCCTCTAAATACTAACTATGGGTGTCCACTGAATGCTAACTGTGGGTGTCCTCTGAATGCTAACTGTGGGTGTTCTCTGAATGCTAACTGTGGGTGTTCTCTGAATGCTAACTATGAGTGTTCTCTGAATGCTAACTATGGGTGTCCTCTGAATGCTTACTATTGGTGTTCTCTGAATGCTAACTATGGGTGTTCTCTGAATGCTAACTATGGGTGTCCTCTGAATGCTAACTGTGGGTGTTATCTGAATGCTAACTGTGGGTGTCCTCTGAATGCTAACTGTGGGTGTTATCTGAATGCTAACTGTGGGTGTTCTCTGAATGCTAACTGTGGGTGTCCTCTGAATGCTAACTGTGGGTGTTATCTGAATGCTAACTATGGGTGTCCTCTGAATGCTAACTGTGGGTGTTCTCTGAATTCTAACTGTGGGTGTCCTCTGAATCCTAACTGTGGGTGTCCTCTGAATGCTAACTATTGGTGTCCTCTGAATGCTAACTGTGGGTGTTCTCTGAATGCTAACTATGGGTGTCCTCTGAATGCGTATTATGGGTGTCATCTGAATGCTAACTGTGGGTGTTCTCTGAATGCTAACTATCGGTGTCCACTGAATGCTAACTATGGGTGTCATCCGAATGCTAACTATGGGTGTCCTCTGAATGCGTATTATGGGTGTCATCTGAATGCTAACTGTGGGTGTTCTCTGAATGCTAACTATGGGTGTCCACTGAATGCTAACTATGGGTGTCCACTGAATGCTAACTGTGGGTGTCGTCTGAATGCTAACTGTTGGTGTCATCTGAATGCTAACTGTGGGTGTCCTCTGAATGCTAACTGTGGGTGTCCTCTGAATGCTAACTGTGGGTGTTCTCTGAATGCTAACTGTTGGTGTCCTCTGAATGCTAACTGTTGGTGTCGTCTGAATGCTAACTGTTGGTGTTGTCTGAATGCTAACTGTGGGTGTCCTCTGAATGCTAACTGTGGGTGTCCTCTGAATGCTAACTGTGGGTGTCCTCTAAATGCTAACTGTTGGTGTCATCTGAATGCTAACTGTGGGTGTCCTCTGAATGCTAACTGTGGGTGTCCTCTGAATGCTAACTGTGGGTGTTCTCTGAATGCTAACTGTTGGTGTCCTCTGAATGCTAACTGTTGGTGTCGTCTGAATGCTAACTGTTGGTGTTCTCTGAATGCTAACTGTTGGTGTCATCTGAATGCTAACTGTGGGTGTCCTCTGAATGCTAACTGTGGGTGTCCTCTGAATGCTAACTGTGGGTGTCCTCTGAATGCTAACTGTTGGTGTCCTCTGAATGCTAACTGTTGGTGTTGTCTGAATGCTAACTGTTGGTGTTGTCTGAATGCTAACAGTTGGTGTTGTCTGAAAGCTAACAGTTGGTGTCGTCTGAATGCTAACTATGGGTGTCCTCTGAATGCTAACTATTGGTGTCGTCTGAATGCTAACTGTTGGTGTCGTCTGAATGCTAACTGTGGGTGTCATCTGAATGCTAACTGTGGGTGTCATCTGAATGCTAACTGTTGCTGTTGTCTGTGTGGCAGCGGAGCAAGCTTCTTGAAGCTCCTGCAGAACCTGGGTCCAGGGAACGCCTGCACACTGCTGCTGGCCGTCCTCACCGAACACAAGCTCCTACTGCATTCGCTGCGACCCGACGTCCTCACATCCGTCAGCGAAGCCCTAGTCTCTGTAAGAAAATGTCCGCGTACTGACAGAGCTGTCAGATGGGTTTCCTGTTACTAAGTGGAACCATTAGATTCCAGATCAGCTGGTTATTCAGCTTTTATTAGTTAAATAGGAAACATATTTTTCTAAGTTATTATGACAAAAATACATTTCTATGGTGTAAAAATTTAGTGTCAGGATCTCCTCTCAGTTAATTCCGCTCCAAATAAAACATGTGATCGTTTGATAAGAGACTTTAATAAATATATTAACTGAAGCTTCCTGTAGAACCTGTTCTGTTTGTACCTGACCTCTCCTTGTGCAGATGACCTTCCCCCTGCGCTGGCTCTGCCCCTACATCCCTCTGTGCCCGCTGCAGATGGCCGACGTGCTTCTGGCGCCGATGCCCTTCATCGTCGGCGTTCACTCCAGCTACTTCGACTTCTACGACCCGCCGCCAGAAGTCATCTGCGTCGACCTGGACACCAACACCATCTTCCAGTGAGACCGCAGGACTCTGCAGAAATGTTAATATTTATGCTGCTGCTGATAATGTCAGCATCATCAGCTGGTTTGTTGGGATGCTTGCAGGTCTGATGATAAGAAGCAGTTGTCATGGCGATCGTTACCTAGGAAGCACGGAAAGAGTCTGTTCAGCACCCTGACCAACCTCCACAGGACCCTGGAGAAGAGTGAGTGGATCAGAACGCAGAAGGAGCAGCTGAGATCAGCTGAAGGTTTCACATTGCCGTTTATCCTGCAGTTTGCAGTCCCGGCCAGGAGGAGGCGACCTTGGAGTTCCTGCTAACAGACTACGACCAGATCTACAGGCGTCAGAAGCAGCTGGAGCTGGAGATCCAGGAGGCCTTCCTCCGCTTCATGAGCTGCCTGCTGCGAGGATACCGGGCCTACCTGCTGCCCATCACGCAGGCGCCGTCCGACACCACCACCGACTGCAGCTCCCTGTTCAACCTGCAGGGTGCGCTGTCTGCTCTTACGTTAAAGTGTCTATTCTCAGGACGCCGCACCTGATTTAAAGACTGTTTTAATCTCAGAATGATACTTTGATGAAAGAGGCTGAGATGTTCTCCTCTCCTCCTGCAGGGTTCCTGAAGTCTCGCGAGCGAGCCCAGCAGAAGTTCTATGTCCAGCTGACCAGGACTCAGATGTTCACCCAGTTCATCGAGGAATGCTCGTTCGTCAGCGACCGACACGCCTGCCTGGAGTTCTTCGACGAATGCGTCCAGAAGGTCTGATGCTACGACCGCAAGTAGCAGAGGCAGCAGAAGCAGCTAGTTTACATGCAAAGTCAATGGTTGACGCGCATCAAGGCGCAGCAAAAGGTCCTGCAGCGCATCGGAGCAGCTAAAGCGCTTCAGAAGCAGCCGCTGCAGTTGGAAAAATTAAAATTTTTCTGTTCAACGCGAAATGAAACCTGCCCGCAAAATATTATTATTCTGGTGCCTGAAGTTTGGGTTATGCATGTGAAAATCGCCTTCCAGCCGCCGCGAAAAGTAACTGAAAACCCCCAAAAGGCGAGCGGGCCTGAGGCAGCTGCTG